AGCGGTTTGACAAAGCACTGGAGGGAACCCACATCCGCTTTCCACCAGGGAGAGCTTGAGGGAGAGTTTTGAGTGCAGGAGGGTACAGGTCCCGAGCTCCAAGCACCAACCGCAGCCCAACCCTCATAGACCAAGCACTGTTCAGAGACCTTCCTCAGAGATGTAGAAGCACCCCCTTGTTCATGGGGGCTGCTCATTTGTGAGGCCTGAGTATACATGTGTGCGTACACCGCCTCCCCCACATACACTCACATACTCACAAGCTAGTTTCATTTACATCTCTGCATTCTGGGAAGATTAAGCAGATACTTTGTCTCACAGCACAGAGCAACAGTTGGTCTCAACTCTTGCCTCCTTGGGGAAACACCCTGTAGAGTCGCAGAAAGGACTGCCTCCCCTGATCCAAAGCTGCTATCCCCAGCTACTGCCAAGTTCAATGCAGATGTGAAGGAGGAGACAGAAGTCTGGGAACTTAGAGGATCAGGTCAGCAGGTCAGCTACATTGAGGAAGGGAGGTGGGAAAAGAATGCATAGACAGATGGGTTAAGGGAGGGGAGAAGGAAGAAAGGATAACAGGGAGGAAGGAAAGATAAAGGATGGGTCAATTCAAGATCAGTAAAAGAAAGCATGCTAGAGTGGTATTTTTGACAGAGATCACCATTCTCCCTGTTGCAGAACTTAGCCTTGGGTGTATAAAGCATTTGAACTCCACAGTGGGCTACCAGGCTAATATCCTGAGAAGGAGGCTCAAATGGCCGGAAGGAAGGAAAGGTTGGGGACTAAGAGCAGCTTCCTGCCACAGCCTGGTCCTGTGGCAGCATGGTGTGTAGCAGAAGCTTCCATGGGTTGGGTTTGTTAGGTGTCAGGAAATACCCCCTGTGGCTCCTGTCACTGTGTTTTCCTCCCAGTCTGACTGTATCAGCAAGCATTCCACTCACCAAGGCCAGACTCTGCCATGGAGGGAGGTCCTGGTAGATGTGGCGTGTGTGTGTGTGTGTGTGTGTGTGTGTGTGTGTGTGTGTGTGTGTGTACGTGTGTGTGTGTGTTCTGAAAGATTTGGAGAAGTAGCCTGGCCCTGACAAGCATTGTGTATGGCAGGTAGGCAGGATCTACATATGGAACCCTGAAGCCTGTTGCCTAAGCCCCTGAAAAAATTCCAGCCTTTAATCCCAATATTCTGGAGGCAGAGGCAGGCAGATCTCTGTGAGTTCCAGGCCAGCCTGGTCTACAAATCGAGTTCCAGGACATCCAGGGAATCCATGTCTTGACCCTCCTTCCCCTCAAAAAAGTTCCAGCCTTGGTCAGAATAGGCAGGAACAAAGTAGCAGGCTTCATTTAGTCTGCCTTTTCAACCAGTACTGTTCAGGTGGACTCCTTGAGCGATACTGTTACACCGTCTTTGCAACACTGTCCTGAGTCCCCATCTTCCCTATGGACACACCTACACTGTCCTCTTCACATCCCTACCACAGTCACACAGTGTCCAGAAGCATCCAGCTACCAAGGGCCACCAAGTTCACACCCACCTCTTACTCACCGTCCAATATCTGAGCAGATCTTGGAGTCAGCAGCTACTGCAGCATGAGCAAAGGCCTCAGAGCCACAAGAGGCATGCCGACGAGAAAGGGCTACAGCCAACACAATGATGGCCAGACCCAAACCAAGACCTAGCAGGACCAAGCAGACTCTGGCCCTGTGACTCCAGGCCATGGCTCAGAGGGAGAGAGGGGAGGCAGGTGGGCACACAGGGCAGTGGATAGAAAAGAGAAACAAACTATTGGCAGATGAATGGAAAAGAAACTATATGGGACAGATGAAAAAGAAATCATCAGTGGGTCCAGAGATAAAGATAAATAATCACACAGGCCAGGCAGCTGGATGGCAAAGATAATAATAGACAGGCTTACAGATAGGTGGGCAGGCAAGTTTACAGAGGATCAACAGGAAGCTGGCCAGCCAGGCTGATGAGTTACAGAGAGACAGAGGACAAACGGACCGGACAGACAAGGCAGCCAGGCTCCTCCAGGACTTGATACAGAGACAGATCTGGCCACAGGTCTGAACTTCCAGTTTTTAGCTCCTTCTGCTTGGCCCTGGAGGCAGGCCAGGCATCTACAGGGAGGGTTTTTTTTTTTCCCCCTTGAAGAGCCAGCTGCTGTTGTTAACTCTTTCACTGCCAGTGGATCCCATGGCCTTTCCTAATGGCCAATGGCAACATGGGCTCCTCATCCCAGCGCCATGGGCAATATGATGCTTGCTGCACCCAGGAGAACTGTGGCACAGGGCTCAAGGAGACTCTCCGGACACTTCCCTGGCTCCTGACAACAGCTCAGGGTCAGGGTGTTTCCTGCAGGGTGGAGCTCCTTACTCCCCAGCCCCCAACACCCAGCTACTTCCACCTAGGCTGCAGCTCAATCGAGACACCCATGTGGTATAGGGTTGGGGATGGAAATGCACCACGGCAGTTGCTCAGGACCATTTACCACAGCCTGGCACAGCTGCACCTATACCTAGGAAGGAGATAAGCAGTTGGGCCACATGTCTAATCCCTGGCCCCCAGTGCCACTTCATCATCCACCCTAGGACATGGTGACCCAGAAGCACAAGCTTAGACCTCTGGGAGATGAGGCTGTCCTGTCTGGGTGCCCTCATTTCTGTAGCTCAGAGTCCCACTGGCTGCTAGCCTGCTTCCCTGGATTCTGTTGTACTCAGGGCTATGCCTGTGCTGGTGAGCCTCCTCCTCTTGGGGAGCTGGCCTCAGGATGTTCGTTTGTGTGGGAAGCAGCGGGAGAGAGGCCCCACTGGGGTGATCCCTTGAGCAGACTTAATAGGCTTGCAGGGCAGAAGAGCCCTGGGCTGGACTTTCTCTCCAAGTCTCAGTACCTTCCCAGCATCCCTCACTCTCTCTTTCCACTGAGCATGGTCCTCCCCCATCTCCATACCCAAAAATGAAGCCCAGAGGGGGCTGGAGAGATGGGTCAGTGGTTAAGAGTTCTAGCTGCTCTTCCAGAGGTCCTGAGTTCAATTCCCAGTAACCACTTGATGGCTCACAACCATCTGTAATGAGATCTGGTGCCCTCTGCTGGCCTGCAGGCACACATGCAGAAGGAATGCTGTATACATAAATAAATCATTAAAAAAAATATTGAGGGCTAGAGAAAGAATGTCTGTACTGACCCACCCAGTCTGTTAAGTGTCACATCCAGATGCCCTTCCCAGCATGGGCCAGAGAGACTGTTGCCCATTCCCACATCTGCCTAGGGGGAAAGGGTAGTGGGTAGTGTCTGTGGGAATCTTCCTTATTCCAACTGTGCCGACTATTACCCACATTGCAATCAGCCAGGAGCCAGGGTGTGGAGCAGCCCACTCACTGGCTATAGCCCTCAGGCTCTACAGACAAAGCAGTTGGAACAAACAGACTCCAGGGCAGTGTATGACCCCTCCCATCCTGGTCAGGTGGTCAGGCATAGGCCACAGCTCTGTGAATTCTCAAAGGGTTAGTATCATACTGGACTTGGCAGGGGAAGCCTGTTCTGCTGGCTCTGAAGGCCTTTATCTGGGAAAGGACGATGGGAGGAAAGGCCACTCAAGTCCCCAAGTCTATGAAAATACTCTGGCTAATAAACCCCAGGGGTCTGGAAGAGTAAGGTTCACCTCCAGCAGCCTGGGTCCATGGAACTCTCTGGCCAGTCCCATGATGCATGGAACACTGTGACACATGACACCTCAACACACCAGCTTGCCTTCTCTTCTGCAATTATGGAGGAATGACTGCCACCCCCTTATGGCCCAGCTTCTGTCTTCCCCAGGGGACCCCAGAGACAGAGACCCTGAGGGCTCAGACATGGTTCATACCCACAGGCACAGAACCCAGCTTTCCTGTGGGCAGGTTGGAAGCTCCAGAATGTCTAGACTCCTGGGACCCTCCTCCAGCCACTGGGACCCTCCCCCCCCAGAGACCCCAACTGTGTTCACTTCTAGAGGCAATATTTAGCTCTTAGGCTGTGATGGCCCCAATGGCCTACTTCTACAAGTCTTCCTGACCTCGTGTTCAGAGCCAAGAGTTCTACAGACCTTGGCGCATCCGGAGGGGCTGAGAAAATGCCTCCATAAGATCAGGCTGTGGGCAAGCCTGTAGGTTATTTTCTTAATTAGTGGTTGATGGGGGGGGAGGGGAGGGCCCAGCCCATTGTAGGTGGGAACTTCCTGGTGCAGAAGGTCCTGGGTTCTATAAGAAAGCAAGCTGAGCAAACCATGGGGAGCAATCAGTAAGCAGCACCCCTCCATGGCCTCTGCATCAGCTCCTGCCCTCCAGGTTCCTGCTCTGTTTGAGTTCCTGTCCTAACTTCCTTTGACAATGAACTGTCTTGTGGAAGTGCAAGCAAAAATAAATCCTAGATAAACCTGTTCCTGCCCAGGTTGCTTTGGTTGTGGTGTTTCATCACAGCAATAGTAACCCGGACTAAGACAAAGAGGGACATTGTGCCTAGCTGTGCTCTTCTGTGTCCCACCTCCCTCCCCCCATGAGTCTGTGGGTTTCCAATAGCTTGCTGACCTGTGTTCGTTGAGAACTGGACCTCTGGGTTCTGGGTCTGTACTAGGAAAGTGACTTCAAGGTACGGCCCTGGCTAAGTTGCCTTGTTTCTGCCTCTTGTCTAGTTCAAGCCCCTTCAGTTTTACCTTCATAAGTGCTGGGCAATGACAGCCCATCCACCCTGAATGGGAAAGCATTCTCAAGATGCCCGCAGCTAAGGGGTTGCTTCATCCCAGTTAACGGCACGGCCAGGGCGCCCTCTAGTGGCTGATACTGGGCAGTGTTCCTGCCTAGGACAATTTACTATGAGGATCCCAACTCCCAGGCACACTGGGCTCCCCCACTTAAAGGTTGAGGTTAGCTTCCATCACTAACAGTAGTAAGTCTTAGGATCCTACCTAATCACTCTCCAAGCCGATGGCTCCATTTTATAACAAGACACTAAAGCCCGAGGTATGGGACTTCCCAGAGCTTGGCTGTTGACCCCATTTATTTATTATACTGCTCAGTCCCACCCAGGGACAGCATGTCCTCCAAAGTTCCACTCTTGTTCCTGGTCAGTCTCTCGTCCCTGGATTGCAGGTCTGCCTGGCCCCTTTTGAGGGCTCAGTAGCCAGCTGGCTCCCCGCCTTTCCTGGAGTCTGAGGCAGCTGCCCAACCACTGGATGTTCGAGCAACGGCCTGAACCACAGCGACATAGGTGGATGCAACCTCTGTGTAGTGGTTCCGAGCCTTCAGGCCTGCAGCCACCACCTGGGGGGTGAGAGGGCCAAGGAGTCTCAGCAAGGCCACAGATGTGGCTGACACTATCCCTGTGTAGTCATGGGCCTCACAAGCCCAGATACTTCCACACCAGTTAGCGCTGCTTCCGATCACGTGAGCAGGGAGACCTAGAGAGGCACCCGGGCTCAAGATGACCCATGCTGAGGGCCTTGGGTGGGAGGTGGCAGCCACTGTCAAGGATGTCCTGTAATCCCACACCATTGTGCTTCCCCGGCTTTTGGCCTACCGGATCAATGTTTTTCTCTATTGTGGTGGTGTTGGGCATCAGCTGGTTGTGCAGTCGGGGTTCTTCCACTGCTGTCTTCACATCATAGCCAAACCACAGGTTGTTAATGATGGTCTGGCGGAACAGGATAGCCAAGATGTCAACATAGCCCCTGAGCAAGGGCAGTGAGAGATAGGGGCAGCAAGGGTTAGGCAAATGGCTTATACCAGTGCTGTGGATGTGGTGATCTGCGTGCCTCCCGAGGCTCCCACCACCAGCTTCACCTTGCCGTCCTTGTCCACAATGATCGAGGGGCACATGGATGAAAGTGGCTGCTTCCCTGTGGTCCACAGGAGACAGAGAGGCTGGTCAGTTGCCTGTCCCGGTACCAGCTCCCTCCCAACTCAAGTCCTCTATCCTAGAATTCCCACCCGGCACCTGGCTTGATGAAGTTGGCTGGTGAGGGGGACACCCCAAACTGGTTGACAAAGTTGGGTGAGCTGAAGTCATCCATCTCATCATTAAACAGGATCCCACTGACTGGAGAAAGGACCTTGGAGCCAAAACTGAAGATAGGCCAGCTCAGAGAAAAATATATATACAACCCAGACACTCCCCACCTCGTGCCCACCCACACCAGGCCAAGGGCACTCCCTAGGAGGCCCACCCCAGGCATGCAACCAAGGTGGCACCTCTGTTTCCCAACATGAAAGAGGGAGGCCCTCATGAGAAATGAAGATAGCCCCCAGCCCACTGTTCATATCCCAGTACTGCCCAGCCGCTGCACAGCCCCTACTAGAGATTGATGGTGCTGGTGGCAGACACAGCACTTCCATCTTCCGAAACCACAGACAGGTGAGCAGTACCCCCGTCATCAGGAATGTAGAATTCAGGATCATAGTAGGAGGTTGAATGAGTGGTTCCATCAGAGATTCGGGCTTGAAGCTGAGCAGCAAAGAACTCAGAGCTCATGTTGCGGATCACCTGCCGAGACCCCAGAGCTGGCCTGAGGAGGTGAGGTGGAAGGAGGGGGAAGGGAGTACAACAAAGCTGTCCCAGGAAGTCTCAAGAAGCCCCAGCCTTGGATCTGACCACAACTTACCTTAAACCTGGACATCCCCCCCCCAGGACCAAGGACAGCGGCTTCTAAATCCTATCTGACACTCCCTCTCTAACCTCCAGCTGCTGTCTGCCCATCCCTCAAGCCTCTGCACTCTTACATGATTTGTGCAATTATTTATGGAACTTGAGCCACGTCCTCAGAGCTAAGGAACCAACAGGGAAGGGACCCATGATGGGTCTTGCCTCCCTAGCAGGCAGGGAGAGTTCTGGAAATGAGAGGCCCAAAAACAGGGATGGAGAAGGGAAAGCTGAAGGCATTTTGGTGGAAGTGATACCTAAAAAAGAGCTCAGAATGAAGCCTAAAAGGTAAAGTGCAAAGGTCCCGGGTAACAAAGAATGAATGGGAATGCGGGGAGAGGATGCTGGCTAGCATGCATCCATTCTGTAAGGTTTCATCGGTCTGTAAAGAGGGACTTTGCAGTTTGCTATGAGTCACGAGCCAGCTCAGGGTAGAGGAGTAAGCAGGTTGGGAAAATATTTACATAGGTTCCTTCTGCTGGGCATGGAAAACGTTCTGGACAACCAAATTAAAGATGGAGATGTCACTGTGGGTGGGAGAAAAAAAAAAAAACCAAACAAGGATGCCCTTGAGGTCTTTGGCCTGGAGTTGCTATTACCTGGGAAAGTAAAATGCTAGAGAAGGAACAGATGTAGGGATGGTTAAGGAGTTGCTTGCTTTGGGACACGCACCCATGACACACTGAAGAACAAGGCTTGTGAAGATGGGCCCATGCACACAGGTTCATGTGTGCAATGTATAGGCAAAGACACAAACATGGGCACACGATGGCTGCTGAAAGCTAATGGCAAGAGAAGACGGAGAGGAAGAGGGAACTAACAGGGTAGCCAGGAAGAAAGGGACCCTGGGATCTGTCAGGTTTAGGCTAAAGGCCAATTAATCCATTCCCCTGCAGCAGCCTTTTCCTGTCTTCCTAATCTTGCAGCTATTGACAAATCTCAGCAAGGTGATAGGACAGACTTAGTTGATGCCCTGGGGGAGGCCTTACCCCATCTGAGGAGTAGATGGGAGGTAGGGTGGGGAGGAGGGGGGAGAGCACATGAAGAGAAGATGGAGGGAGAATTAGGATTGAAATGTAAAAAACAAATTAAAAAATAAAAATTAAAAAAGGAGTCTGTCTGTACATTTGTAACAGGCTCCTAGACTTTTCTCTAGAAAGGAAATGCTAAATCACAGCCCATATTCAGTCAAGGCTGTCATACTATCCTTTCTAGCTCTACCCACTAGCTGACTATGGGGTCCCTGTTGCTACAGGGCAAGGCAGACACCCCACCTGCCTGTGACTCTGTAACAGGTCCCTGGGTTCCAGAATGGCAAGTGCCATTCTCATCCCCCAGTGACAGTGTACAGACCCCATGGTGACAGACACAGGAACATCCTAGGGCTACTGGTATAATGGGTCCATTTTAACTAACTGCACCCCTCCTCCAGGTCCATCATCTCATCTAAGTCATAAATTAACAAGATTCCTTCCTCCCTTCCTCAGCATGCAAGATACCCTGCCCCCCTCCCCAATAGCCCTAAAACATTCTTGCCCAAGCAGGCTCAGAACTTCTCTTTTCTCTTCAGACCCCGCCACACTCTCACTGGAGTCAAAAAAACCTTATGGCCTCATGGGGCATGCTTTCAATTCCAGCACTCAGAACGCAGAGGCAGGCAGATCTCTGTGAATTCAGGTTTTGCCACAGCAACAACGTGTTCTACTGCAAGAGGTACCATGGCAAAATGTAAGGTGTGATTTGATGAATGCTGCACCTAAAAGATACTGAGACCCTGGGGTGGGGGGTTCCACCACTGGCACTGAATGAGCCATGTGACTTTGATGTGGAGTTTCTCACCCTGGACTGTGGCATTGTGGACCTGTTCAGGAAATATGGATGGCAATAGGAAAGGAGGTGGTAAAGAGAGAGGAAAAGACTTCTAGCAAAATGCTCACAATCAAGTAGGGGCCCCAGGGAAAGCACACAGATATGCACTGATATTTTAGATTGCTTTGTCTATGGTTACATTTTCACAAAATGAAACAAAGTGGGATTTGGCGGCTCATGCCTATAACCCCAGTACTAAGAGGCCGACGTAACAGGGTCGCCTTGAACTTGAAGCCATTTTGGACTAGTCTTAATCTCTCCCATGCCCCTCATCATTCCTGAGGGATGCAACCTCTCCATCCAGCCCTCTCTTCTGCATCTAGAATCTTCCAGGCCAAGGGCCCAAGCATGTGTAAAGGATTCGAGACAGGATCTTGGGTGGATCAGGCATGGAGAAGGGCTTGGAGGGAACAACACACTAATTATCCATTCTCAAGTCTGTTTTCCTCAGTTTCCCCCGCACTATGAGTGCCACAAAACGGAGGTCAGGGTATAGGGTAACAAGTCCATCCTGAATTATTAATGGGTTCAGAGCCCACCTCTCTGGCAGGTCTCCCACCCACTGTGGGGTAGCCCCTTACCTGAGACATATCGACAAACTTTGGGTCACCAAGCATGGTCCTCTTTGCATAGGCAAACCGAAAGGCCTCCACAATACGGTGATACGTCAGGGCCTTCTGCTCAGGGGTTGCCACACTCTTCGGAGAGAAGTTGTATCCTGAGTGATACCCAAGCACACATTGGCAGGCAATTGGGGTTGGAAGGGTTCAGGGGGTTAATATGTCTCTGAACTATGTTCCCTACACTCTGCTTTAGGAAAAGAAATCTGAAATAACCAACACAGTGACCATTTCAGAGATGCAGTTTAAAAAAAGGCATACCAACACGGACATAACAGGAGAGCTCAAGGGTCCCAAAGTCTATAGGTTTCTGGAAGACCACTTAGACTAGCCAGAAACACACTGGACAAGGCCTCTGCCACACTGTCCTTTCTGAACATTTTCCCTCTTCCAAGTACTGTCAACCTGCCATGGGGGGGGTGGCACTCAACACTGCCTCCAGGAGGTCACAAGCCATGAGGCAGGGTGGACACTCTACCAGTTCACACTGATGGAAAAGATATAGGGCAAAGAGACCCAGCAAATATGGAGCACCAGCAGAATGCTCCTGGAAAGAGTGCTCTGCTCCTCAGCAGGGATAGAGGGAGCTATCTCACCTTTGAGGATATTCAAGATGAGAATCAGCACTGGTCCACTGAGTGGGGCACTGGGCACATACAGTGTCAAGTCTCCAAGGCTGATGCTCATCGGATGCTCAATCAGCTCGGCACGGTAGTTATTCAGGTCCTCAACTGTCATAATGCCTCCTGCCATGAGACAGCAGCTCAGTGGCTGAGTGATGGGATTGTACCGTGGTTGGGGACAGGGTCGCAGCCTGTGAAACTTGGTTTACCACTGGGCAGAGTACAGGGTGAAATCAAGAAATATGGCCAAGGGTACACTATGGAGTCAGGGCAGTTTAAGAAGAAGGTTAGTCACCATAGTGAGAAGATGCTCTATACCACCAGGAGGGGGCCACAGGACCATCAATTGGTAATCCTGACCATCACTGGGAGCCCTAGGCACTAATGGTGCTTACCGCCTATGCCAGGCCCAAACAACAGCCTTCTGGCCAACCTTCTTTCATCTCTGAAGCCAGAAGGTTTTTCCCAAGTGTAGACTATCTGCTTCCATGCCCCTCCCTTTACCAGGCCCCTCCCTCGTTGAAGAATGGATGGAAGAAGACATGATTGTCTGAGGAATTGAATCTGAGTAGGATTTACAGCAGTAAATGTCAATATGATAATCCCCCTACTTCATAAAACAGGACAAAAATAACATGAACAAGGCCACAGCCAAGCCCTCAGGCTGCACTGCCAAAAGCCCCCCTAAATCGCCTCTGACAAATCCTTCCTCAGACCTTGTAGCCCTCACAGGGAGTCTAACCTTCCTTCTTCCCCTTAGCCTACACTCTCGTCTCTCTACCTGACATCCATTGCAGCTCATTTCTCACAGGCCATGCTCCCAGATCCTTGGGCTCTAGCTCCTTCTCAGCCCCAAGGGCTACTAGACCCCTGATAGGGATGTCCTTCTGTATATATGTTTCTCTTATTGGTTGGTGAATGAAACACTGTTTGGCCAGCAGGTGTGGTAGGTGTACCACCAAAGCAAATCCAAGGACACTGAAGCTGCGGTCTGACTTAATGCCAATGTTGTTCAACCTTTGGATGCTCCTAAGCATCTCAGCAGAGAAGAGTGACTTCCTGTTTCTCCTTGCTTATATCCTGGTTCTACCCAGCTATGTCACTTCCTGTCTGTCTTGTACAGACCTCCAGACCTCTATGGTTAGCTAGTGGCAAGTTTCATTCTCTGATCACCAGACAGGCTTTATTTGTGCAAGAAAAATATCACTACAGACCCCCTACTCACACTCTGGGGGCTTTTCTGTGCAGCCCAGGCTCTATGGATGAGCCAGGAGCTATGAATCTGAGTGGTCCACACTCACCCTCCCCTGCCAAGTGCTCCCTGGGGACCCAGAGGCCAACCTGGACCCCATTCAGTGTTCCTGCTGTGAAACTTCTTGCTCAAACACACTTACCAGCCTCCTGGATGTCCTTCACAATCTGGGCCGTGAGGCTCCCATTGTAGAAGGCCTGGGCTCCTTCCTGGGCCAGAACCTGTAACGTATTTGCCAGCCTTGGCATAGTCACGATCTCTCCTTCTCGAAGCACCTTCCCTTGCCGGCAGAACACCTCACTAGGGCAGAGAGGACTCATGTAAGTTATCAGATACAGAAAACTGGACCGGTCATACCTCACACCCATCCTAGGGGGGAATGTCCTCTCACTGGCTCTAAATGTGTCTACACACACAATGATTAGTTTAACAACTTTAACCCGGGTAAACGGCAGGCTCCTAAAAGCAGAGAACACAGCTCCACCAGCCCCTTCCAGGCTGGGCTACTTAGATATGAGGCTGCTCACCATAACGCAGGTGTCTGCTCAATGATTTCCCGGTTTTTGTTCAGGGCCATTCCCAAGGCCTTGCCCACAGGAAAGCCATGACGGGCCAGCTCAATGCTGGGCTGGAAGAGGCGAGCCCAGGGTAGTCGCCCATGCCGTTGGTGTGCCAGCTGGTAGCCACGGATTTCACCAGGAACTGCTATTGAAAGGCCACCTAGGAACCAGGGATGAGGGGGAGCAGAGTTAGAAAAAGAAAGAGAGAGAAGAGAGAGAGAGAGAGAGAGAGAGAGAGAAGAGAGGTTGAGAGAGACTGACTCTGGTCATTGGGACCATAATCCCTACTATTAGGAGACTGGAGCAGGTGGATCTCATGAGTTCAAGGCCAGCTTGGTCTACAGAGCAAGTTCCAGGATAGCTGGAGCGATACTGAGAACTGTGTTTCAAAAAACCCAAATTATGTGCTGGAGAGATGGCTCAGAGAGTAGGAGCATTGGCTGCTCTTCCGGAGGTGCTGAGTTCAATTCCCAGCACTCACATGGTCTGCTGGGATATGTGCAGACTGAATGCTGTATATATAGTAAATATTTTTTTAAAAAAATTAAAAAAGGAAAATGAACAAAGGGCTGGTGTGGTTACTCTGTTAGAGCACCTATCTGGTTCTGGTTTGTTCCCATATCCATGTTAAAAAAAAAAAAAAAAAAAAAAGCAGCAGCAGCAGAATCCCAGACACTTTCCCTGGCCCATTTAATGCCTCTACTAGAGCAGCTTGGAAGGGGAGGAGTCTGTTGCTAAGGGGAGGGGTTTGTTACTAGGGTAGTACTAACACTGCAAGGGCTCCACCACTGAGCTATATCCCCATCCCAGGCAAAGAGAATTTTAAGATCATAGCTGAGCTCCACAGGAAAGAAGCGTTGATCAAACACTTCTCACAGGGCACAGAATGGGGAGCAGGTGGCTGTGCAGGAAAGTGTGCTGCCCCACATGAGTGGGTGTGTCTTCCAAACGAGAGACCCTGTATCAGGACCATGGTTCTATGCAAAAGTTGGGGAAAGCTGGACCCTTCCCAACTCTCAGTCTGAGCTCCTGTACAATACACCAAAGCAAGATCAGCAACGAGATGAGCCAGCTCTGTGGCAAAAGCCATATTCTGGCTGGTTTTATGTCAACTTGACACAAGCTAGAGTCATCAGAGAGGAGGGAGCCTCAACTGAAAAAATGCCTCCATAAGATCCAGCTATAAGGTATTTTCTTAATTAGTGATTGATGTGGGAGGGTTCAGCCAATTGCCGGTGGTGTTCCCCTCTCCAGCTGGTGGTCCTGGGTTTTATAAGAAAGCAGGCTGAGCATGAGCATGCCATGGGGAGCAAGGCAGCAAGCAGCACCCTCCATGGCCTCTGCATCAGCTCTTGCCTCCAGGATCCTGTCCGCCCCCTCTCCCCCCGCTTTTGATGATGGACTGTTCTATGGAACTGTGAGTGAAAAACACTCTTCCCTTTCCAAGTTGCTTCTGGTCATGGTGTTTTACCACAGCAATTGTAACCCATACTAAGACAGGGCCTTTCCTCTTTCCTACTGACCTGAGCCCCAATCCTAGCCTTGTTTTCTCTGTGTGCTTGTTTACCCTGCTGACATGATGGGTCCAACTTTCCAGTTCACACCTTTAGTCAGTCAGAAATACATTCCTATACTGGATTCCCCAGCAAGCCCCATTGCCCACCTAGGCCAAATGACACCTAAAGCCAGATCCTGACCACGTTGTTTACTAAAGTACAGCCATGACTGCCACCTGCTCCAAGCCCAAGCTCCTGCTTTCACCACAGAGGTTACCAGGGCCATTTCAGACACTCCGAAGCTACTGCTTTTTTCTTACTCCCACTTTGCAGTCCAGCGCATTTCCAAAAACTGCACCCTACGCTTCCTACACAGCTCAGAAGATCTGTGACCCAGCACGCAATCCGTCCCATCTTAAAAACAATGTTCAAGCCAGGCAGTGGTGGCTTGTGCCTTTGATCTCAGCACTCGGGAAGTAGAGGCAGGTGGATCTCTGTGCATCTGAGATCAGCCTGGTCTACAGAGAGTTTCAGGACAGGCTGCAAAGCTACACAAAGAACACAAAGAAACCCTGTCTCGAAAAACAAAAACATCAACAATAACAACGAAAAAAGCCAATCTTCATTGGAGGTTGGTCAAGTAGCTTGGTTGAGAGAACACTTGTTAAGCAAGCATGATACCCTGGGTTTGATTCCCAGCACCACAACCACCAACAACAAATGAACAAGTCACTACTACCCTGCTCTCTCTGGTCTCACACCACCCCGCCTGTGAAACTCACACCACCCTGCTACTGTGCGACCCAGCTTCCTGCTCAAGTCTTGCTGGGTTATGACTCTCCTCGGCTACCTATGTCATGCCTGCCTGTCTTCCTTCTTGTCAACATCCGCTTTGTCTCCTGAGACATTACCTCTTTCTCAGTGAGGTCTCTCAACTCTGGCCTTGAACTTCTACTGACACCTCTCATGTTTATCCTCTTGCTTGGATCACTTCCCTTATCATCAGATCCCCGTGTCCACCTACCCACAGGAAGCAAGTGCTTCAGACTTCACATGCCCAAAACAACCAAGAAACCTATCCCCCAACATCTCTCTGTCTCCCTTAGGGCTACCCTATCCACCCAGACACAGACTAAGGACTATGGTGGTCACTCTAGTTTCCTGTAATCATATATCACCCAAAGAGTTGATGGATCTTGACTTCATCTATGTGGTTTTAGCCCTGACAAAAACCACCCTGGATTATTGGGGTGACTTCCTAACATGTCTTCACTGGTTCCCTGCATCTTACAGCAGCCTTAGGGTTCCCATTAGCCACCAGACAAGAGGCAGGAGCTTCACAGTAGCCTTATAAGGTCCCGAGCCACTTATGCCATTCCCTCTGACACCATATTCCCTACTTGCTGGTAACCTCCCTGGGTCTCTGTGAGGCTTAACCTCCATCCCTCCTCCTGGGTCACTCAACCTTTCCCACCTTTCCTGAGACACCAACATAACTGTTCCCACCCCTCACCTCTGAGTCTTGTCCAGATGTCTCCAGCCCTGAGCACTCTACCCTCTGCCCTCTTCACAATGTGCTCAATTCTCCTTGCCACCTGCAAGGGCTCTTGTCCTAGCCATGAGTAGCATCGATCCTCTTAGGAACAGTACCCTGTGCTTCAAGAGATTTCAATAACCCTGGTTAAACAGTGACCTCTAAGCGCCCATAAGCATTCTTATAATCAAGAGATTCATTGCCACACATCCTCCTGAGTTTCTCAATAAATGTGAATCCAAAGATAGTTGTGAGGGGAGGAATCCAAAGAAGACATGCAGAGGACATCGCCCAAGAATCTTCTTCCTGGGTGTCCACTTGCCCCCACTCCTCCATCTTCTTATTCCGAAATCTATCTACTCCAGCTCTACCTAGTAGTGACTTCAAGAGGAACACTGGCTTCCACTCACCTCCCTGGGGAGCTTGAGAATCTCTTCCCCACTTAAAGCCTGGTCAAAAAAAAGGAGAGTCCACCTAGACCCAAGAGAGCTGTTTCCACAAATGGACAAACAAATAATTGAATGAATTTAATGTCTAATATTAAAAACACAGGATTGCGACAACCCAGGCTCCATCCTAGCTTCTAGGATCTACTGGCTGTGTAATTTCACTTGGTTTGCATGACCTTGCTGGGTTTTACCAACCCACCTGCAGGACAGGAATAAACATGGTATTTTTTCTCCAGCCCTAGGGAGAGGATACAAGAGCCTCCTCAGCAAAAACCACCAGGCAAGGGGGCAGTCCCAGTGACCCCTGGGAAGTGTGAGTAACTGTCAGTATCCAGAATCTCCCTCCTCCCCCAGAATATCAAAATGCATGGATGCCCACATCCCTTACATGAAGCACCTTCTTGTGTATTTCATTATCTGCTGATTACTCACAGTAGTTAATGCCCCGTGAAGGCTATATAACTAGCTGCCCACTTAACCATCTAGGAAGTGTTGATAGAATAAATTCACGTGTGTTCAATATAGAAGTAATTTGGCTTTTATAAAGAGATTTATTTATGGGCTGGAGAGATGGCATAATGGTTAAGAGTACTGGATGCCCTTCTAGAGGACCCGGGTTCACTTCCCAGCACCCACATGGCACCTCACACCTATCAGTAACTCAGTTCCAGGGAATCGGACACTATCGTACAAATGCATATAAAATAAAATAAATTATATTTAAAAACAAAAGAGATTATTTATTTTTATGTGTGTGAATGCTTGCCCACATGCATGTGTACCATGACCTGGTACATGACTAGGAGGGGATCAGAAGGGCACCAGATACCTCTGACCTGGATTTTATAGGTGGTTGCAAGCCACCATTTGGTGCTAGAACTCAAACCCAGACCCTCTGTGGCTCCTTGGTGATTATCCTCTCCATATGCACACATGGGTAGCTCGGTGCAGGACTGAGAAGAAATGAAAGAACCTACCCCTACCCTCATGATGCTGATTAGCCACTCGTTACAGGAGGGTGTCATGGGCACCAGAGCTGCCTCAGACCTCAGACAGGGATGTGTGCTCTGTAAGTACATATCCACACCTGTCGCCCACATGACAGCTTACCTTCTTCAGATTCTTTCGAGCTGTTGAACATGTTGGTACTCGCCAGCCTGGGAGCCACCTCACGGGCATTGATAACCTCAGCTTTCCCTATACAAAGAAACATGTTGGCGGGCAGGTTATCCCCAACCCCTCCTGTCAAGAGAGCCCAGCGGTCACCCAACTATGCTACTCTAGTCCAAGTCACACTGACATGAGAGGATGGACTGAATCTCTCACCCTCCTCACCCTGGGCACTCACGTGTGGTGCTGTTGTAGATGGTGAAGAACAGGCCGCCCCCAATGCCCATGCTGTGAGCATTTATGAGCCCCATACACAGCAGGCTTGCGATGGCTGCATCCACCACGGAGCCACCTTCCTGTAGCATGTCCCTACAGGCAGCACATAGGAAGGTGAGAGCCTGAGGGCTTTCCAGTCCCTCAGAACTACCCTGCCACCCTCCCTGGTCACCCTGCCCAAAGGAAGACAAAAGAAGAGTGAGCCTACACTCAACCCTCAGCCTCCAGAGAAGAGAGCTGCCGCATTCAGCTGGGCCAGGTGTTCTTTCCCTTGCCCCTTCTCCTGCTTCAGTTTATTGAGAGAGGGTCTTATCTCAAGATTGGACTGGCTTTTAATAAAACGACAACAACAAAAAACTTGTTTTATCTGAGAAAGAGAGAAAGAGAGAGAGAGAGAGAGTGATTGCAGGTACCCATGGAGGTCAGAGGAGGCCATCAGATCCCTTGGACTGAAGTTCCAGGCACTTGTAAGCAGCCTGATAAGGGCATGAGGAAACTGGACTCTGGTTCTTTGAAAGAGCAGCATACACTCTGAATCATTGAACCCTCTCTCTAGTTCCAAAGTTGTTTCTTTATTATGTTTTGTTTTTCTGAGGCAGGCTCCCACTCACTTGAACTCACTATATAGACCAGACTGGCCTCAGACTTGCAGAAATCCACCTGCCTCTGCCTCTGGGATTAAAGGTGTGCACCACCATGTCTAGCCAACTTTTTGGTTTTTGAAGATGCATTTTTTTCAAGCAAACAAATATACACAATTTATTGAAAAGGGGAGGTTTTTTTATTGTTTTTTTTTTTTTTTGATTACTTATCAAAATGGGAACTGACTTTTACAAATAATGAGATAAAAATCTACAATGGGTAGAGGCTAGAGAGATAGTTCAATTCTACTCTTCCAACCCCCCCCCCCTGGCTCCGCATCTCAGCTCACAATTGTCTGTAATCCCCAGTCCCAGGGGATCCAATGCTTTCTTCTGGGCTTAGGGCACCAGGCATGCCAGTGTTGCATAACACTCAGGCAAAACACATACACACGTACATACATACATATATATTTTTTTCTAAGACAGGGTTTCTCTGTGTAACCATCCTGGCTGTCCTGGAAACTCACTTTGTGGACCAGGCTGACCTTGAACTCAAAGAGATCTGCCTGCTTCTACCTCCCAAGTGCTGGGATTAAAGGTGTGTGCCACCACTGCCTGGCCATATTTTTTTTTTTAAATTAAAAAAAAAAACCCACAATCTAAAATGGGAATGAAATAGTAGCATTTTTCAGAAACAATACTAAAAAAGAGGGTCCCAAGTTGGCTGTGGGGAAATTAATACCCTACTATCAGAGTCCCTGTCCCTTTCCCCCTAGACAGAGGCTACCAAGAGAGTCCAAGGAAAGGATGGGCAACTCCCTGTTCATTGGATACTTTGTCCAGCTTACAGATGGGGAACCTGAGTCTTGCCCAAGCTCTCTAGTCACTGTCTTCCAGTGTACCTGGCCCTAGGGCTGGCAGACCTACTTACCGTCCAATCTCTGAGCAGCGCTTGGCATCTGTGGCCACAGCTGCCCTGGAATACACATGGTCCAGCTTCCTAGAAGTGTAGGGCAGCCAGATGCAGAGGCTGATGATGACAAATACCAGAACCACAGCCACCAGGCCCAGCACCACAAACCGATTCTTCATGACTCTGTTGTCCAGTGAGAAGGAGTAGGGTCAGATCCAGCCTTGGGAACTTCCAGACCATCCCCCACAGGGCACAGTCTAAAGTCAAACCTCAGGAACACAGCCCTGTGCCTCCTTTTAGCCTCCTAGAACATGCATGGACTGTCCAGCCCCCAGACCTTTGGCCAGGCCATTCCTTCTGCTGGAAGCTCTGGATCCCACCTCTGCTATTACAAATCCTGTTTATTTTCAGAGTTCATCCCTGTATGGACTTCATTCCCAGCACAGACCCTCCCAAGGAGACCCTTCAGACCCCATGTGCCCTGGGGACCTGCTTACAGAAGCCGAAATGTTAGTGTCCTGAGATGAACTCCAGAAGGATAGGATTCACCACATTCTTTCTGTGTCCCCTACCCTAGCCGAGGGTCTGGCCCTGTCAGTGGACCCCTAGAGTTGCTTGGGGTTGGACATTTATCATGCCTTCCAAGGAGGCACCCACAGTCCCCTGAAATCAGTAAACTAGCTACACAGGTCAGGACTTACCGTCTAGTAGTCCTCCACACCTTCCCTGGAAGGTGGCTCCTGAAAACAGCTGTATAGACAGGCAGGAGCAGAACACCCCACACTCCACAGAAACCTACGGGTCAGGCTTTCCTGAAACTCCTGGAGCAGGACACCTCCTTAGACTCCTGGAAGTCACAGAGTTACATGTGAAGCAGGCCGAGCACTTCCTGGAGTGCCTGATGTGATAAGTCTCTTTCTGCCTCTGGCTGATCTCTGCCTCCCATTGAACTCTGGAGCTAAAAAGACTCCCAGATGCTTGCATGTATGCATGACTTCTCTTGAGCACTACCCAGGGATGGGGTCACAGGACAGAGCAGGGAGGGGCCAGGGCATTCATGCGGGAGCCCAGGATTTGGAAGGAAGAGCAGCTAGCCTATGGACAAAGGGATTTGAGGCTCCAGGCCCTTGAAGGGACTGGAGCTGGCACACTCGCAGGGGTGTTTTCGAAAGACTTGGATGAGAACATGTGAAGTGCTAAGCTGGGTATCTGTCGTGGCTAACAGCTGTAACGCTAGCACTCAGGATACAGAAGCTGAAGAACTGCCAGGAATTTGAGCCCAGCTTAAGCTACCTAGTAAGTTCTAGGCTACAGTATGAGATACACTCAAAAGGGGGGGGGGGGGGAAGGCTGGGGATGGAGAGATGGCTCAGTGGTTAAGAACACTCACTGGCTGCTCCTCCAGAGAACCTGGGTTCCAATTCCCAGCAACCATACAGCAGTTCACAGATCCCATGCCCTCTTTGGTCTCTGTGGGCACTGAGCATGCAGATAGTACACAGACAAATACGTAAGCAAAACACTCACTCACAGAAAATAAAGTAAACACATCTTTAAAAAACAAATAGGTGTGCCTCCTAGCTATTTCCTTTGAGGGTTTCCTTCCAGACCACACAGAGAAGGAAAGCCCCAGCCTTACTGAGGAGGATGTAACTCAAAAGAGGGAGAAACGCGTTGACAAAGGTGTGGGGTGCTCTCCTCCCAGACTCCATTTCCTCCAAAGGGTGGCATCCACTGGAGAGCCTTTTCATGAAGTCCCAGGCTGCCCCCACTCTGCTTCTCTCTGTCCTTGTTCAGAGCACTCAAGTTCAGGATCAGAAAGGGTATCCATGGTCTAGGAATGGAGTTCTTGTCCCCTCCCCATACCTAAGGAGAAAGTTACTGACTCCACAATGGAAAAGCTCCCCTCCCCTGGCTTGGAGGATTGGGTGGTAAGTGATGTAACAGGGTTTGGTGCCTCATCTCATGTGGGAAAACAGATTTACAACTCTTGAGGCAGAGGGGGGGGGACACAGCCCAAGGCAGAGTAGGATGCCACCCTGTGCCCCCAGTAGCATCCCTAGTAGTTCTCCCTGCCTGAATCCAGGCTTGGATCTGACCTGAAGTCACAGTCTCATCCCTGTAATTCCCCTGGCCAGCTTGGTCCTCCAGGATGCAACTGGAAGGTTCCTTCTATCCATCATGGCAACCAGACCCTGTCCTTGTTGTCCAAGGGACAGTCTATACTTTTCTTTAAACCTGATAGCCTTTTGGGCACAAATCCTGGGCCCTGGAGTGAGCCTAGGCCAGAGTCTAGGATTCCTGGTGAGACAGTCACATTACACTTTCAAGGGGTTTTAGGAGCTAGACCTGCAACACGTGCCATCATTCATTATTGGTGCAGAACAGTCCCATCTATGCAGTAGGGTAGGAATGGGCATGGCCTCATACAGCTCTGGCCCAATTGGGGTATCTTGGGTTTCCCAGGTTTGAGGCTATAAACTGAAACTAGTCTCAGGACCCTGAGGTGAGAGCCATCTGTGACTCCCCATTACACGATTCAGCCTTCCTTGTCCACTTATCCATCTGTCTGTCCACTGAACAACCCTATAAAGACACTCAGAAAGATTCCCTCTTCCAAAGAGGCCGGGGGGAGGAAATGGGCAGCCTTGACCCCTGACCCTTGTCCCTTCCTCATGGGACATTGTGACAGGGAGGGCTGGCTCAGCCTCCTACAAGCAGATGTTCCAGTCCAAGCGGAAGACACCCTGCTGGAACCCTGGGCTTCCATTTCCCAGCCCCCCACCCCAGTTTTCTCAAAGATTCACTAACAGAATATGTAAAGCCAGAAGCCCTGGCTCCACCCAAATCCATGTTGGGAGGGAAACTGAGGCATTGTTCCTCAAACCTAGACCTCTCCTTCTCTGGAGGGAGTGGGGACCCAGGAGAGAACCCCCTCTTCCTCAGAGGACAGTTCTGGGATAGGAAGTAAGAAGTAAATGGATCTACCTAGGAAATCCTAGCTATAGAACTGATTGCACCGACCCCCAGAAGCAGCCAGAGCCATGCCTATCAATCAGCCTTGTAGAACAGCTCAGTGCCCCACCCCCAACCCTGACTTGGTGTCAGGATCTGAGGCTGAGCATCTCCTCAGGTCAGAGGTAGAAAAGGGCTGGTAGTAGTCAAGGACCCATGTGCTTACCTAATCCCAGAGGGGCAAGTAGTCAGCTAAGGGGTGCCCAGCATCTCAGAAGGGCAGCTGGAGGCCTCTGAGTGGCGTGTGGAATAGGGAATCCTCTGCAAGAGGTCCAGCCAGGCTGGGAGGACGGTCAATATTGACGTCACAGCAGCAAGGAGGCGCAATGATTAGACCAGGTGACTAAAGTTCATGCAGCCCCAGGAGGGCCCTGGGCGGGAGGTGGGAGGTGCTAAGAGCCTGGGAAAGGGGCTCCCCTTTCTCAGATTTTTCCTGGAAGGGCAGAGGCCACCGGTGAGCCCTTCCTGAGAGCTCCTGCTAAGTCCCTCTGTGATTTATGTCTTTGAAATGGTCCCGAGGCAGTGAAGTAGGGGTGCCCCCTGGCACTATACCATAGCCCAGATCTAAGAGACCTCGTTGTACCTTACTAGTCAGTGACAGGTGCATTCCTGGAACAGAGCCTAGGGCCTCAGCGTCCAGACCGGTTCAACTACCAATTAAGGAACAGCTCCATGGGTCCAATCAATAACAGGAACAGCCTAGAAAGGCAAGGCCCAGAGAAGGCCAGACCTGTCCCGAAGTCACACAATCCATCAGGGCAATCCTGCCACCTGGTTCCTGTCTCAAACTGCTGCATGTCCCTGACTAGCTCACCAATGAAGTTTCAACTAGACACAGTTGTGGGTCTGCCTCAAAGGGCATTCTATTCTCTCCTGATCCTCATTGGCCAAGAGGAGCGGTTCCCTGACTCCACTACAGTGTGGTGGAGACCCTGTATTCATCAGTGTACAAACCTCATATACCTAGAGATGCTGCCGGTGCTATCCCTCAGACAGCCCCCAACACCACACACATGGATACTACACACACACACACACACACACACACACACACACACACCATACAGTTATACATCACACACATACTATACAACATACCACATACACACATAATGTATACACACATACTGCACACACACATACATCACACACAAGCACACACATATACACAGATATCACTCACACATACACATGCACGCACGCACGCACGCACGCACACACACACACACACACACACACACACACACACACACACCGGAGCTGAGTATAGCAGGTTCCCATGTACAAGAAAGACAGACTGAAATGTCTCTGCTAATCCTGCAGCAGATCCACTAGAGTCTGAGAACTGCTATGACATCTCAGGGCCACAGGAATCAAACTGGGCATAGTCTAAATACACCCACCAGCAAGAAAGGCATGGTGGTTCATGCCTTTATCTTCAGCACTGGAGGGGTTGGGAGGCAAAGTCAGACTGATCTCTGTGAGTCTGAGGCCAGGCAGAGCTACATGGTGAGATGTCTCAAAAGAAAAGAAAGAAAGGAAAGAAAACAAAAGAAAAGAAACTGAAGTTTAGACAAAAGCAATTTGCCCAAGATCTGCTGCCCCTAGGAGGTCTGTGGACCAAGATACTCCATCACACTCCATATGTTCGTAAGGATACCTGGGTACAAGAACACAGATCTCTTCAGCCTCCTAGTCCTGCTTGTAAGTAAGAAGGACACTAGCCAGGTGTTAGTGGTGCATGCCTTTAATCCCAGCACTTGAGAGGCAGAGGCAGGTGGATCTTTGTGAGTTAGAGGTCAACCTGGTCTACAGAGCGAGTTCCAAGGCAGGCTCCAAAACAATACAGAGAAACCCTGTCTTGAACCCCCCCCTCAAAAAAGGACAATAACTTCTCCCAGACCTGAGGTTGGAATCTGCCTGAAGTTTGCTGCCCAAACTGGTGTAGAAGGCAGAGGACCAGAAAACACACTTATAATCCCCTTATATATACCTATACTCCTTTACACACACACACACCTACAATCCCCTTATACACACCTATCCTCCTTACACACTCATACCTATAAACCCCGTATACACACCTATACTCCTTACACACACACCTATCTCTTACATACACTTATACTCCTTACACATACACCCCTATACCTCTTACACACACATATACTTCTTACACACATATTTAACCCCTTACACACATACATCATACCCCTTACACACACCTACCTATTCCCTACCAATGACTTGAAAAGCATTGCTTGCTGGGAACCTGATGAGAGAGCTTAAAATGCCTAGGTACATATCTAGAGGTGACAGAACCTCCTGGAGCTGGAATGACTCATTGCACAATGGTCCCTGCCCTCACCCCCACCCCCAGCCCAGAGAGGGGCAGGCATGGCTGGAGGGCATAGTGCCTCCAGAACCCTGATCATTACTGCTGCTGGGGCTGTCAGATCTTCCTGGGTCTCAGCTACTTCATTCTCAATCACAAATCCACTTTCTGGGAACCAGGACTCAAAGGCTGCTTTCTGACTCCACTCCAAACACTTAGCAGCCACCCTCTACTGAAAGGAGAGCCTGGGCAGCCCCCTTGAGCCCAATTGCCAGGTAAAGAAATAGTGCTCTGCCTACCTGTGTTAACCCACATCGACCAGGGCACAGGAGCCTGCTGCCCAGTTAACCAGAAGTGCGGTGCGCTCCTGCAGTGCAGTGGCTACACAGGCTCTGAGGGGATCACTCACTAGAGGCCCTAGAATGGCATGGTAGAGCCGAAGGACAGA